AATTAAAATGAGTTGGTGAACTAATTAAATTTTATAAATGTATATTGTTAAAAATAAGGAAAATATTTTTTTGTTCAAGTATTTGTCACATGAAAATGTTACAAGTCAGTAACAGCTTCAGGGGAAGGTGACACACAGTGGTACCAACTTACATGCTTCTTTCCCATTATATTGAAAATATTAAAGTATATTTTTTCCTCACAGGCTTATAATAGAGTATAGACTTCAAACACAGGGCTTGGCTTTGAGGGAAGACATCCTACACTATTATTCTTTAAAGTATATTTTGTCCCATTCTTATCCTTAAAGATTTGTGTGTCCAGGAATGACAGAAGTATTTCAGGATTTTTGCATCTCAATTAATATGTTTTTTACTTTAAATCCACTTAGTAATATGAACAAAATATGCCAGATAGGATCTCTCCTATCTGGCATATTTTGTTCATATTAATAAGTGGGTTTCCCAGTTGAATTGTATGGCTGTGAAAGTTGGACCATAAGAAAGGCTGAGCACCAAAGAATTGAGGCCTTTGAACTATGGTGCTGGAGAAGATTCCTGCGAGTCCCTTGGACTGCAAGGCGATCAAATTGGTCAGTTTTAGAGGAAATCAACCCTGACTGCTCTTTAGAAGGCCAGATCCTGAAGATAAAACTCAAATACTTTGGCCACCTAATGAGAAGGAAGGACTTGCTGGAGAAGAGCCTAATGCTGGGAAAGATTGAGAGCGAAAGAAGAAGGGGATGGCAGAGAACAAGGTGATTGGATGGAGTCACTGAAGCAGTAGGCGTGAGCTTAAATGAACTCCAGAGGATGGTAGAGGACAGGAAGACCTGGAAGAACATTGTCCATGGGGTCGTGATGGGTTGGACATGACTTTGCAACTAATAACAACAATTCTAATTGTTGGGTTTTAATTGGAAGGCAGGGCCAAGGATTTCGGACAATATCTGTATGACAAAATTGCTCAGATCCGGGGGGATTTGGACTCTGACTGGGTAGATTCGGGCAGGGTGGTGAGGAATAGTCTTGAGAACGTTACCTGGGAAGAGTTTGACTCTGTGACCCCTGATGACGTGGACAGGATTCTGGGGAGACTTAGTGCGGCCACATGTTTACTGGATCCGTGTCCCTCCTGGTTAGTACTGGCTTCCCGGGAGGTTACATGAGGCTGGCTCCAGAGAATTATTAACGCTTCGTTGAGTGAGGGTTACTTCCCCATGGCCTTGAAAGAAGCGGTGGTGAGGCCTCTCCTCAAGAAGCCTTCCCTGGACCCGGCAGTATTAGCCAACTATCGTCCCATCTCCAACCTTCGCTTTGTGGCGAAGGTTGTCGAGAGTGTGGTCGCACGACAGTTTTCACAGTACCTGGAGGAAACGTCTTATCTAGATCCATTCCAGTCGGGTTTCAGGCCCGGGCACAGCATGGAAACGGCATTGGTCGCGTTGGTAGATGATCTCTGGAGGGCTTGGGACAGGGGTTGCTCCTCTGTTCTGGCCCTGTTAGACCTCTCAGCGGCTTTTGATACCATCGACCATGATATCATGCTGCACCGGTTGGAAGAGTTGGGGATGGGGGGCACCGTGTTACGGTGGTTCTCCTCCTTTCTCTCAGACCGGTCGCAGTTCGTGTTGGCAAGGGGGCAAAGGTCGACCTCGAGGCCTCTTATATGTGGAGTGCCTCAGGGGTCGGTCCTCTCGCCCCTTCTGTTCAACATTTATGTGAAGCCGCTGGGCGAGATCATCCGTGGCTTTGGGGTGAAGTACCATCAGTACGCTGATGACACCCAGATGTACATCTCCACCCCAGGCCACCCCAACGATGCCCTTGAAGTTATGTCCCAGTGCCTGGAGGCTGTGCGGATCTGGATGGGGAGGAACAGTCTCAAGCTCAATCCTTCCAAGACTGAGTGGCTGTGGTTCCCGGCATCCCGATATAGTCAGTTGACTCCATCACTGACAATCGGGGGCGAATCTTTGACCCCCACGGAGAAGGCGCGCAATCTGGGAGTCCTCCTGGATACGCAGCTGTCTTTGGAGGAACATCTGACAGCTGTAGCCAGGGGGACCTTCTGTCAGGTTCGCCTGATTCGCCAGTTGCGGCCCTTTCTTGATTGGGATTCCCTGTGCACAGTCACTCATGCCCTCGTCACCTCTCGCCTGGACTACTGCAAGGCTCTCTACATGGGGCTTCCCTTGAAGAGCACCAGGAGGCTCCAACTGGTCCAACTGGTCCATGCGGCTGCACGGGTAGTTACGGGAGCTGCATGGCGCTCCCATACAATACCTCTCCTGCGTGAGCTGCACTGGCTCCCAGTGGTCTTCCGGGTGCACTTCAAGGTGTTGGTTATCACCTTTAAAGCGCTCCATGGCATAGGACCTAGTTATCTTTGAGACCGCCTGCTATTACCGACGGCCTCCCATCGACCTGTGCGCCCCCACAGAGAGGGCCTCCTCGGGGTGCCATCAGCCAAACAATGTAGGCTGGTGACCCCCAGGGGGAGGGCCTTCTCTGTGGGGGCACCTACCCTCTGGAATCAGCTGCCCCCAGAGATAAGGAGAATCCAAGACCTCGGTGCCTTCCGCCGTGCCCTTAAAACCTTCTTTTTCCAGCAAGCCGGGCTGGCCTAACACTTTTTAAAATGTTTTTATTTGTCTGTTATTGTTTTTAATCATGGGGCCAAATTTATATATATCTTTTTAATTGTATTTTAATGTTTGTAGTTTATGTTTTTACTTGGCTGTTCACCGCCCTGAGTCCTCAGGGAGAAGGGCGGTATACAAATTTAAAAATAAATAAATAAATAAATAAATAAATAAATAAATAAATAAATAAATAATTGTGTTATATGTGTTGCCCTGAGCCTCCTTAATAAATGCACATTCTTTTTTTAAAAAAACAAATCAGTTTGTGCATCTGCTGACCTGTGTACCTTTTTTTCTTCATAAAGGGAAGATGCAAGGGAATAAAAACTATCAGATTGTTTTCTCTTCAAGTGGAAAAGGTCTACATATTTATCTGCAATTTTAAAAAATGCCTAAATATTAGCTTAAAATATTGTAAATTTAAGAACATAGATTATAATGGAACAATTTGTTTCCAAGAATATGTGTTAATCAAATGTCTCCTTGAATTACTATCCAGCATTGCTCATTTACATAAAATAATATCCACAAACATAAGGGTTATCTCTCTTGCACACCAGATGGATATGAATTTGGGAGTTGGTAAGCATTCTGCATAATTCTCCCACCATGAACCCTGTCTAATCTTGTCAGCTGCTGTTTCATTCCAGAACTGGCTCTCTCATTTGCATTTATATCAAGCAAACAATATTTTACATAGAGAATATATCCACATATCTACGTTAAAAGGGACTTTTCTGAATATAGTTTGGTTTTCTGCCTCCCTCCTTCCACCTATTTAGTGCCACTAAGTAAAAGGTGAAGCATTTTATTAGTCTTATCCCTCTAATATTTGCTGCATTTCATTTGTTGTGTTATGTATGTGGAGAAAAGTGCTAAATACTGTTTATGCTCACTAATCCCTTCCCTGCTGCAAATTAACCTTGCTGTAAAATCAACCAGGCTGTAGACTAGTGAGTGGCAAATCTGTGCTGAGAAACTAATTCTGATGGTAATTGGATGCAAGTGTCGTGAATCCTAATTTATTACCCACATAACAAACACATACAATGCCCTGAACAGGTGCCCATTCCCTCTTTCTTTGATACATCAATTCTAGAACTATAACATTATGAATATAAGTCCATCTGCTTCTAGTTGTTACTCATAAAAAAAAAACTGAGAGGTTCTGATAATACCAAAGGATTATCTGTTCAGCATTTTGCTTCCCACACAGACTAACAAAGTACTTTTTGCAAAGCCTCTATAATATTTTGTTGTTCGCCTGGCTTTTGCCAGGTTGCTTTGAAGTTTGACAGTTTTTTTGCTACTTGTTATATAGATATATTAATATCCCTTGCACTTTGGAAGCACTAATTACAGAGGCAGCAGTAAATTAGCTTATTCATGTTTAAAGAAAAGGCTGGATCAAGATTCAAGTGAAAGATGATGTGAGAAGATGATGAGTTAAATGAAGGGATGTTGCCTTGGTGATGTCTCAATGATGTCAGCTCCATCAAAAGTCAGTCCAGTATTACAATATTCACTCCTTGTGAATATACTGACTATACAGGATATACTGATTCATCTTTATCCTTCATGTACTTGTTACCTTCTTCAGTTTTTATTTTAAAGTATTCAATTTCCAGGGTTTTGAAATAGACTTTTCACAGGTAGAGTTGTCTCCTCTGCAAAAACGATCATCTTAAAAGGAGTTGACAATATTAATAATATTAATAAAGATGGCAGAGAAAGCATGCTTCTCCACACTGCCATTCTTCAATTTTGAGCAGCTTTCTTGTAATCAGGAGATATGGTGGCTCACTGGCTAAGACACTGAGCTTGTTGATCAGAAAGTTTGGTGGTTCGAATCCCTAGTAGATTCAAACTAGTATCTTGTGTGAGCAGGGGATTGGACTAGATAACTTCCAAGGTCCCTTCCAACTCTGTTACTGTTAACTGTTAACTTCCTTTATTCCAAGAACGCAGGGAGTCTGGCAGTGATGAAAACCTCACAAGATGGGGAAAGGAAGCTGAAATGTTGAGCCTGCTGCTTAAGTAATGGGGGTTTCTTACTCAACATTGGCATATTAAACTTTCTATAAGTTTTAGCATACAATACATGTTATAAGACTTAATTTGTTTTTTGAAAAGCAAAACAAAATATTTCTCTGAGTTTTGGTGAGGAAATCTTAAAGATCTGCATACAGCACTCTGTTCTTATAGTGTAGATTTTACACACAAAGAAGCACCTAGATAGATCTGTACTGAAGATATTAGTTTAACTAATATCTTAATAATTAGTTAATTAGTTTAGTTAGTTAGCTACTTAGGTTATGGATTTATTTATTTATATCTCACCTTTATTATTTTTACAGATAACTCAAAGTGGCAAGCATATCCAAAACATCTTCTTCCACCTATTTTCCCAAACAACCCTGTGAGGTGAGTTGGGCTGAGAAAGATTGTGTGATCCAAGTTCAGCCAATTGGCTTTCATGGCTAAGGCGGGACTTGAGCTTTCTAGCCTGGTGTCTTAAATACTAGACCATACTGGCTCTTTATTGTATTGTATTGCAGTCTATTGTAAAAGCAATAGGGAAGTGACAAGAGACTAATATCTATGCCATGCTATAACGTACAAAATGTTCTGGGCTGTTTTTATCAGCATAAGGAAATCAAACATGCAGTCTTCTTTCAGGAGTTCTAATGGTACACTTGTGCCTTTCTTCTTTTCCAGGATTTTTGGTGGACCAGAATGTAGGTTGTAGAGCTTCATGAACTCTCCTCAAAGGCAACATTTTGGACCATTTTCAAATCTTGAATATAACCTCTTTGCAGAAGAAATACTCTGACTCTGCTCTTTCTAGCATCAAAAACTCTATACATCTTTCTTGTCTATCTCTATGCTTAAATTAAATAACTACTTAACTGATATCTACATGGTATGCCATCAACCATGTTTTACTAACAAAGGCACATAACAAACCATATGGCTTTAGCCCATTTGCAATATTTGGAGCAGACGGTTTGTATTGTGAGTCAAGCTCTGGGGAAATTTCGCTAAGGGTGATTTTTAAATATGACTTATTCAAAAACAGTTCATTTCATAATCAGAAGACCTAATACAATGCAAACAGAAGTAACATTGCCAAGATGGGACTCATTGTTAGACACTTTAGTGTTTCTTCCATTCAGAGAAACCATAAGCTATGGGATATAGGGAATATTTTCTGATTAAAAAAGAAAAAGAAAAAGTATTCTTCAGGGAATGAATAAGCAATAAGAAATAAGACCAATGGAAATGTCAAACTTCTACCCTTTTCACTTACATTTCCATAATCTGTACTGACAGCATTCAATTCATGTTTGCTTGCCTGACTTATAGCATAATGTTATATGAGGCTAACAATCATAGGAATTCTACAGAAAATTAGTAAATCTCCAATTATTTTTCCTTTGGTATCAAAGGAGTTAACTGGCAGGTGCATTATGTGATGGGTGTCCATGATGACAATAGCAAAATTGTGACAAATCTTATTTTAAAAATCATCATAAATTTCTACATTCACAGAGACATATTCTATTTAAATGAGACCATTTTGTAACCAAAGCAATTTGCATTGGGCTCATTCCTATCTATAGTCATCATATATCATATGAATATAATTCCTATTTAGAGCTGGGATTTGAATAAGGGCAAAGAATTATACTGTGCCAATTTGCTGCAGATCATAATTAGAAAAGATAGCTCACATTTAGAATCTCTGCCAAATCAATTTCATGAAGTTTCATAGCCTACTTAATAAAGATGATAATTGTCCAACAAACACATTCATTTGTCTAATGAAAACATGATTCAATATTTGGGAAATTTTGAGTTATGGGTAACAGTGTTCTTTTCAGGACATGCATGTTTTTCTTTTGAATTTTTTTTTATTTTTAAACAAAACATAAAACAACCATCATCCATTACAATTACAGAAAGTGTGTTGATTAGTTACAGATCTTTTGTGCTTAATCCCATATCCAAAACACTCTTATTTGACAATTTATTATATCCCTTTGTATTGTTATTCTCATTTACCAATCATTTAACAGTGGCTTATCTTCCATAAAAACCCACTTCATACATTTTATTATTACATTCATTTCATTTCCATGCTTTATTATCTAGCCATTGATAAAATAAATCCCATATCAAATAATACTGTTTGTCTTCCTGTTCTCTAATTTCAAATGTCAATTTACTCATTTCAGCACACTCCAAAATTTTCTTTATAACTTCTTCATCAGTAGGTATCTTCTCTCCTTTCCAATTTTTAGCAAATACAATTCTAGCCACCATTAAAACATTCACAATTAAATATCTCAGTTCTCTATTATATGTTTCTGGTAAAATCCCCATAAAAATATCTCTGGTTTAAAATCAGTGTGTTTCTTTGTCATTTTTTCCAACCTTGTGTGGATTTTAGTCCAATATCTTTTAGCTTCTGCACATGTCCACCACAAATGGTAATATGAACCCAGAGTCTGATGACACTTCCAACACTTCTCCGATTTATTCTTGAACATTCTGGCTATTCTCGCCGGGGTAAATGCCACCTGTAAAACATCTTATACAAATTCTCCTTATATGCAGAACATGCATATTCAATAAATAGAAAATGTAGAACTGGTCCACTATTAAAAACTATCGATAAAGCACATGCTTTTGTAAACAGATTTCTCAACTGCTAATGGTATCTCTCCATAGCAGATGCTATGCAAAGTTGATAAACCTTCCTAGTCAGAGTTTACCTGATCCTGATACTTAGTCTGACCAGTATGAGATGGTAGAAATTGTATTTCTGTGGATTGGACTTAAACTAAATTACATTAATTCAATTATTTATTTCATTGCTAAACTACCGTACCTTTCCTGAAAACATCTCAAGGAAAATAGGGCCGTCTTAACTGTAGGAATAAGGGATGTGTCAGCATTCCATGCACAAATCAGGAAATTATCCATACTTGTTGGTCCAGGAGAGTCCATAACTGGACTGAAACATGTGATTTGTTCACAAATGGATCAGGAACACATTTATTCTAGTAGAAGTGCTTTGCAATGGGGGAATAGTATAAAAGAAGTAGCACCCTAGGATGACAGAGTTAGGACAGATGCAGCTAGTTGGCATTAGCAATGGCAAGGAAAGAAATCTCAGAAGGAAATATAGAATGGGTAGGTAGCACATTAGTAGGCAGAGGCATTAGGCATTAGTAGCAAGGCAGGAAGTAGGCTAAGGTGCAGTGGCAAGGTAGGAAGACACAGTGAAGATCAGGTAGTCCTTGTTGGGTTGGGTAGCTATCCTGCACTTGAACTAAAGCACAGCAGCAACAAAGAGCAGGAGAAGAAAGAGAAGAGAAGAAAATGGAGAAGATTGCTGGGTGTTTTGGAATGCAAGCTATACGAAGGAAGACAGGAGAGAAGAGCAAGGCGTTCCTGCTTGCTACACTTAATCTCTAATGTCCCTAATTTGACACAGCAAAAAGCCAGATAAACATAAATAATCTTTCCAGAATGGACAGGTTGAACTTCTGACACAGAATAAAGTAGGTGCAATTATTACTTTATGCACTACTGTAATAGCAATCTTCATAGTCAATCTAAGAAATTTTATGCTTCAAATGGTTCACAAAAATATAACAGTGAACCAAGTATGATTTACCTCCAAGCAGCATTCACCATCCTATATTCATGGTCAACCACATTTGAGAATTCTATGCCAATACAATAACAATGGACACATGCACACACAAACACAAACACAAACACACAAACACACGAGCACTTTGATCCCTAAACCTGCTTTGTTCACACAATAGATATTAACATTGTCTGTAGATATTAATATCAAAGGATTAATCAGAAAAAAGTCAATTCAAGAATGCCAAAGACAATGCTTATACTATTTAGGATAAAAATAACAATGTTTTCAATTGTTATTACTGTTCTGAATCTACACACTATTAAAATTCTTATCATTTAAAAAATAAAAAACTTTTTACAAAAAAAAATTCTTGTCATGACCTTTCATTGGGTAAAACATCGGGTAAAACATCGGGTATCATGCAGAAACAATTTCTGATGCAAGGTATCCCAAATGGACTAACATATACAATGTGTACAAGATCCAGAACTCAGAACTCCTGAGAGAATGAAATTTGGGGAAATTGTGACTGCTGGCTTGCTGGGCTGCAGCTGCAGTCACACAATCTTCGTTTTCAATATTCCATTTATGATTTCCCAATCAGTTTCCCCTTGTTCCGTCTCCCACCCAGCAGCAGCCACTGCTGGGAAGAGAAAGGAAGAGAAAGGAAGGGAAGAGCAAGGAATGAGCAAGGAACAGAATGGGAAGGAATCCCATGCGCCTTTCCTGGTTGCAAGCCATCCTGACTTCCACTGCCCCACCCATGCCTTCTCCAATCCATGCTCTTTTTTAACATCCACAGACATCCTCCATGACTCACTTCACACCCTTCTTGCCTCTGTGTATGGACAGAGGATCAGGTGCAGGGGTGGGATTCTACCAGTTCAGACCAGTTCGGGCAAACCGGTAGCTCTGACAATCAGCTGGGAGCGAACCGATTGGCTCCAATGATCAGGTTGGACCACCCACCTGCCCTTGCATTTTATTTACCTTTATCTTGCCGTGCCTCAGCTGTGTTACTCCCAAGTGGTAACAAAGAAGGTTAGTATTTGTAAAACTGTGCACACAAAGCGCACAATCACCGAACTGGTTATTAAACCGGCAGCATCCCACCACTGATCAGGTGCACAACTCAATGCATATTTAAAGGAAAAATCTGCAGAAATGTGTGGGTCAGTGATCCAGATCAAGAGATCCTGTCATTTGAGACTAGAACAAACCATTTGTTAAACATTAAGGTTATAGGTAGAGGAGATTCCAACTAGACAAATCAAGCTGAGATGCCCAAGACAAGACCTTGTGAGGTTGACTCCAGCCTTCCATCCTTCCGGTTGGTAAAATGAGGACCCAGATTGTTGGGGAAAATATGCTGACTCTGTAAACTGCTTAGAGAGGGCTGTAAAGCACTGTGAAGTGATATATAAGTCTAAGTGCTATTGCTCTTGTTATTTGGAGTGTTTTTGATTATGTGATTTCTTAGAACATGAGCAGAGTTCTCCATTTTGTAAGCTTAGCCATCTGCTTATTATATCCAGGTCCCTACTACCCATGTTTTCCTGAAAATAAGACACATTAGGGCTTATTTTCTGGTTAGCTGTTATTTTGGGGGGGGAAATACAATACTAAAATGTGTCCATATGTCTGACCATCTTACCTGGGGCTTAATTTTGGGGTAGGGCTTATATTATGAGCATCCTGAAAAATCATGCTTAGGGCTTATTTTCCAGTTGGGTCTGATTTTGGGGAAAACATGATATGGTAAAGCTGCCTGGGAAATGACATGTGACTGGGTCCATGTAGCGATAGTGGCTACTTTAGTGAGGGGATGGTGCCTCAGCCTTGAAGGAGCCCTTTCCCTTAAGAAGGAGACCGAAGGTCCTGGACCATTAAACATCCAGTCTCCAAACTTTTCTTATTAGAAAATGTGATAGAGAGAGTAGCTGGGTTGATCTTCCAGGACATTCTGGAGGAAGCATATGCTTAGAGCTTTTTCAGTTGATTTCAGCTTGGAATTTACTACAGAGAGAGCATTGGTCAAATCTGTTGACTACCTGTGGCAGGGCTGGTAGTCAGCCCTGGTCTGGTTCTGGTCCATCCTAGTGCTCTTTGAACTCCTGGTGGCTTTTAATAATGTTGCTCATGTGTCCTTTTGGACTGCCTTTGGGGATTAATAGCACTAACACTAGCACTTAGACTTATATACCGCTTCACAGTGCTTCACAGCCCTCTCTAAGCGGTTTACAGAGTTTACAGAGCATATTTTTCCCAACAATCTGGACCTCATTTTACTGACCTCAGAAGGATGGAAGGCTGAGTCAACCTCACAAGATCTTGTCTTGGGCATCTCAGCTTGATTTGTCTAGTTGGGTCATGGGTGAAATCCAGCAGGTTCTGACAGGTTCTGGAGAACCAGTAGTGGAAATTTTGAGTAGTTCAGAGAACCGGCAAATACCACCTCTGGCTGGCCCCAGAGTGGGGTGGGAATGGAGATTTTGCAATATCCTTGCCCCAGGAGTGGGGAGGGAATGGGGATTTTACAGTATCCTCCCCTGCCATGCCCACCAAGCCACACTGTGCCCACCAAGCACAATCACCGAACTGGTTGTTAAAAACCGGCAGCATCGCACCACTGATCAGGTGCACAACTCAATGCATATTTAAAGGAAAAATCTGCAGAAATGTGTGGGTCAGTGATCCAGATCAAGAGATCCTGTCATTTGAGACTAGAACAAACCATTTGTTAAACATTAAGGTTATAGGTAGAGGAGATTCTTTCCATTGGACTGATGCCACCTCAGATACAAGGCATGACTGAGTTATAAATTGTGAAAATGGATGGATCAAAACTCTGGGGTCATGATTGGCTGAGGAGGCTGCCACTCATTTGAAGTTACATGAAGAACTACATGAAGCTACACGGTTTATCACAAAAATCAGCAAAGATCACCAAAATCTTTGGTAAACTGAGAGACTTTGGATTATGCCATACATGTTTTGAAAAATGGTATCAGCACATCCAAGCACATTAAAAGTAAAACTATTTTATATTAGAAATGATACCCAACTTGAACAAACCCAGGGTTATATGACATACACAAAAAGTTAGAAAGTTGAATTGGACCAGATGGATATTGAATTGATGATTAATTCCATGGGCTAATATGTGATTCCAGTAGCTGTTAAAAAGGAATAGCCAGGGTTTTTGTATATTTAAAAGCTGCCATTAATCCACTATTACAGGATAAATAATATCCCTGCCTGGAACTGTCATTTTTTTGGTAACCTTACCAAGAGACATTTTAATAAAATAGGCCTATTTACTTATGTAAATGGAACAGATTTTTATGGTATTTCTCATAATAAATGCACACAAAAAGTTATAATATGATAATAGACTTTGGAATAGATTCAACAAAGTGCTTTGGCAGACAGTCAAATAGACACTAAGTGCTATGAGATAATCTGGGCACATAGTGTTATTTAGGTGACATAAATGCATTTGGTGTAATTGAGGAGAT